TTAGCCAATATCGAGTGACCTGTGATATAGGTGGAAGGCCCAACATTCAAAGCACACTTTTTCAAATCACTTTCTCTGTTATGCAGATGCAGTAAGTAGACTTTAAGCAAATATAAAGCAAACGATTTTACTGGCCTTGCTCAGTGTCTCAGTCCCCCAACCCCCATTGAGCAAGCAAGCAAAGCTCATGGGATATACTCCTAAAGCAGTTTCATTTTTTTCTCTTGCTCTCCATCTAATCTGCTTTATAAGGCTAGTTCTCCTGCCTCTATAGGAAAAAACTTGATTCTGACTATTCCAGTAACTCTTTAAGTCGTCCAAGTTCCTAATCAGTAATTAAAATGTATGATTTCATGTGACAGTCAGAATTCTGAACATAGTTTCATTTGGGCCTCCTTCCCTTCCTCGGCTTAGGTCTCCTGCACAGGGACAAGTCTGTAGTCAGGGAAAAGGGTCCAGTCAACCTCTTTACCTATTTGTACTATGCCATTTCCTCTACACGTACCATTAACCCCTCCAAGGTTGGGACACAGGGAGGAAGAAACATAAGTTGGGCAGGAAAGTCTCCATAATGATGGGTACCCAGCAGGCAGGAGTTAGACTCTTTTTTTTTTTTTTTTTAAAGACAGAGTCTCACTCTGTTGCCCTGGGCTGGGTTACTATGGCATCATAGCTCACAGCAACCTCAAACTCTCAGGTTCAAGTCATTCTCTTGGCTCAGCCTCCTGAGTAGCTGAGACTACAGGTGCCTACCTCATCACCTGGCTAGTTTTTCTATTTTTGGTACAGAAGGGATCTGTCTTGCCCAGGCTGGTCTTGAACTCCTGCTCTCAGGCAGTCCACCCAGCTCTGCCTTCCAGAGTGCTAGGATTACAGGCATGAACGACTGCACCCAGCCTATAGCTGAGCCATTTGCCTGTGAGTTGTCTCATGTGTTCTTTGAAGACTCCTTCCATTGCTAGAAACTCTCTCCTACAGGTTCCTTAATGGGGGTAATGGACTCTCTCACTTCTAAGCATCCCCCAATATGGCTAGTTTGTTTGCCCTTCCTGGCCACCGTCTTGAGTAGAATCTAAGAACACACAGAAGAATAAGCTCTAAATTCCCATTGCCAGGATTCTTTCCCAGGTAGTAGTGGCCACTGGGTAGAATCAGTGGTACAATGCGATCCACAGACACTCAGTGTAGTGAGAGAGTCAACACAACTAAGAACTCGAGATGTTCTTGAGCTCAAGGGCTTATTTAATCACTAAGACAAAAACTCTCCTTTGACTAAACTTTTAATCAGATTCCTCTGAGTGCCCAGCTTAACTAGGCCAAACCTTGGGCTTCCCTCTCTGCTGTTGGTTGAGAAAGACTTCTTTTAAGTCATTTTAGGGAAAATCCCTCACCCTACGTATCTGACCGCCTGCAATATCTTATCACGCTGAACTGGTCTGCCGCAATAATCCTAGCAATTCAGGTGGCCAGAAACCCCTCAGCTCTGATGTTTCCTCTTAGTGATATTCTACCCACTGCTCCCTCCCTGTCCTTTGGTTATAAATTCCCACTTGTCCTGGTCTGAATCAGAGTTGTGTCTAACTGGCAAGATCCTGTTGCAGTGGTCCTGAATAAAGTCTGCCTCACCATCTTAACTAGTATTTGGATAAAGTTTTTCTTTAATGACTGTTATTTCCAATTCAAGACCATGCCCTCAAGATCACTTCCTTGGTTCACTGGACAAGCCTCTCCCAAATTCCTTCCAGACCTTCTTCCAAGGCCTTTCCCATTATCATATCCTTTAAGAGTAAGTCTTGTAATCAGGAACCCAAGAGTAAAGATTTTAAAGTTGATCAGAATCTTCTGCTACATTTAGGTAAACTCTAGCAATTTTATTGGCTCAACCTTTTGTTGCATATTCAAGATTCTGTAATTT